TTAGCTGTTCAATTTTGTCAGTGAAGTAACATGCAAAGTTATCAGCAGTAAGGTTGGTTTGGGGGGTGGCCACAGCGGGGCGAAGAAGAGAATTAAAGGTGTCAAAGAGATGCCTGGGGTTGCGGGAACATGAACTAATGAGAGAGGAAAAATAGGACTGTTTGGCAAGGGCAAGGGCTGCACTGTATGAACACAGTATGAATCTATAATGGAGAAAGTCTGACTGGGTGCGAGACTTCCTCCAGGAGCGTTCAGCACACCGGGAGCATCTTTGCAGGTAGCGCGTTGATTTAGTATGCCACGGTTGGGGGCGGGTCCTCCTTGAGGTGCTTGTTTGGAGTGGCGCTGCAGTGTTCAAGGCAGATGTAAGAGTAGAGTTATATATGGAGATGGCCAGTGAAGGACAGGATAGGGAAGGGATGGACAGCAGTTGTGAATCAATGTCAGCTGACAACTGTTGGAGATTAAGAGAATTAAGGTTCCTCCTGAGTTGAGGCTGGTTAGGTGGAGGTTGTTGGGTGAGGGGGTACGTGAGAGCAAATGATAAGAGGTGGTGATCAGAGAGAGGATAAGGAGTGTTGCAGATATTAGATACTGTACATGCATAAGTGAAGATTAGGTCAAGGGTATTGCCAGCTACATGGGTGGGAGAATTTGCCCACTGTGATAGCCCGAGGGAGGAAGTAATTGAAAGTAGTTTATTGGCTGCAGAGGTCAAAGGTGGGTTTATAGGAATATTGAAGTCCCCGAGAATTAGGGATGGGATGTTAGAAGAGAGGAAATAGGGTAGCCAGGCAGCAAAATGGTCAAGGAAGAGAAGAGGGGAACCAGGGGGACGTAAATAACAGCAATGTTAGCAGCGAAGGGTTTGAAAAGGCGAATTGAGTGTATTTCAAATGATGGGAAAGAGAGGGAAGGGGGGGTGGGAAGAGGTTTAAAAGAGCATTGAGGGGAGAGGAGAAACCCAACACCACCACCTTTACATTCAGAGTTTCTTGGGGTGTGGGTAAGTTGGAGACCACCGAAGGACAAAGATGAGGGGTGGCAGTGTCAGAGGGGGAGAGCCAGGTTTCTGTTAAGGCTAGTAAATCTATTGAACGAGAGATATATATCATGTCTGGGGGCTATATCTGAGCAGTATATATATATACTATGTCTGGGCGCTATATCTGAGCAGTATATATATATATATATATACCATGTCTGGGCGCTATATCTGAGCAATATATATATATATACCATGTCTGGGTGCTATATCTGAGCAGTATATATATATACACCATGTCTGGGCGCTATATCTGAGCAGTATATATATATATATACCATGTCTGGGCGCTATATCTGAGCAGTATAAATATATATATACACCATGTCTGGGCACTATATCTGAGCAGTATATATATATATATATATATATATACACACCATGTCTTGGCGCTGTATCTGAGCAGCATATATATATAATACCATGTCTGGGCGCTATATCTGAGCAGTATTTATATATACACCATGTCTGGGCGCTATATCTGAGCAGTATATATATATATATACCATGTCTGGGCGCTATATCTGAGCAGTATATATATATATATACCATGTGTGGGCGCTATATCTGAGCAGTATATATATATACCATGTCTGGGCGCTATATCTGAGTAGTATATCTATATATATATACCATGTCTGGGCGCTATATCTGAGCAGTATATATATATACATATACCATGTCTGGGGGCTATATCTGAGCAGTATATATATATACCATGTCTGGGGGCTATATCTGAGCAGTATATATATATACCATGTCTGGGGGCTATATCTGAGCATAGTATATATATACCATGTCTGGGGCTATATCTGAGCAGTATATATATATACATGTCTGGGGCTATATCTGAGCAGTATATATATATACCATGTCTGGACGCTATATCTGAGCAGTATATATATATATATATATATACCATGTCTGGGGGCTATATCTGAGCAGTATATATATACCATGTCTGGGGGCTATATCTGAGCAGTATATATATATACCATGTCTGGCGCTATATCTGAGCAGTATATATATATATATACCATGTCTGGGGGCTATATCTGAGCAGTATATATATATATATACCATGTCTGGGCGCTATATCTGAGCAGTATATATATATATATACCATGTCTGGGCGCTATATCTGAGCAGTATATATATATATATACCATGTCTGGGCGCTATATCTGAGCAGTATATATATATATATACCATGTCTGGGCGCTATATCTGAGCAGTATATATATATATACCATGTCTCGGGCTATATCTGAGCAGTATATATATATACCATGTCTGGGCGCTATATCTGAGCAGTATATATATATATACCATGTCTGGGCGCTATATCTGAGCAGTATATATATATATACCATGTCTGGGCGCTATATTTGAGCAGTATATATATATATATACCATGTCTGGGCGCTATATCTGAGCAGTATATATATATACCATGTCTGGGCGCTATATCTGAGCAGTATATATATATATACCATGTATATATTAAGTATATATCCCCCTGATTTCTGTTATACATGTTTGTAGCTAACATAACAATGTAACTAAACTCTGACTAGTTCAGAGTTTTTCACCTACACAAATGTATGTATTGGTTTGTTTTTTAATATCACGATCAGGTATTTTTGTATATTGTTTTTACCCATTTGTTTTTATTTAATCGACTGTGATTTATGATGGACTGAAATAATCTAAATGTATGTTGACATTGCTAGCTTAGATAGGGAGCTTCCCCAATCAGCTGATTTAGTTTACATTGTACAGTTCATTGTTCCATTTACTACAAAGCACTGTTTAATGAGTAAACCCCTAATGCATTAACATTTACTAATTGTAAGGTTTTTTGCATATATCTATATAATGTGTTTATATATCTGTGTGTATGATGTGTGTGTTGCTATTTATGTGTGTTTATTGTGTGTGCATGAAGAGTATGTTGCTGTGATTTGCTGTGTGAGTTGCTGTGTGAGTCCCTGTGTTTGTGTTGTTGTTGTGTGTGTATTGCTATGTGAGTTGATGTGTGTGTCACTGTGTGTTGTGATTTGCAGTGGGTGTATCAGTGTGTGTATCTGTGTGGGTGTGTGTTGCTGCGTGTGTTGTTATGTATGTGTTGCTGTTTGTTGCTATGTATGTGTTGCTGTGTGTGATACTGTGTGGCTATGTATGTGTTGCTGTGTATGTTGCTGTTTGAGTTGCTGTGTGTGTCACTGTGTGTTGCTGTGATTTCAGGGTGTGTATCTGTGTGTGTATCTGTCTGTGTGTTGCTATGTGTGTTTCTGTGTAGGTGTGTGTTGCTGTGTGTGTGTGGTACTGTGTTGTTATATATGTGTAACTGTGTGTTGCTATGTATGTGTTGCTATGTGTGTGGTACTGTGTATGTTTTGTTGTGTGTGTGTGTGTGTGTGTTGCTGTATGTGTTGCTGTGTGTGTTGCTATGTATGTGTTGTTGTGTGTGTGTTGCTATGTGTGTTGCTATGTATGTGTGGCTATATTTGTTACTGTGTGTGTTGCTATGTATGTCTTGTTGTGTGTGTTGCTGTATGTGTTGTTGGTGTGTGTGTGTGTGTGTGTGTTGCTATGTATGACTTGCTGTGTGTGTGTTGCTGTGTATGTTGGTATGTATGTCTTGTTGTGTGTGTGTTGCTGTATGTGTTGCTGTGTGTGTTGCTGTATGTGTTGTGGTGTGTGTGTGTGTGTGTCTTGCTATGTATGTCTTGTTGTGTGTGTGTGTGTGTTGCTGTGTGTGTTGCTATGTATGTGTTGCTGTGTGTGTGTTGCTGTGTGTGTTGCTGTATGTGTTGCTGTATGTGTTGTGGTGTGTGTGTGTGTCTTGCTATGTATGTGTTGCTGTGTGTGTTGCTGTGTATGTCTTGTTGTGTGTGTGTTGCTGTGTGTCTTGCTATGTATGTCTTGTTGTGTGTTCGTGTGTGTGTGTGTTGCTGTATGTGTTGCTGTATGTCTTGTTGTGTGTGTGTTGCTGTGTGTGTTGCTGTGTGTGTTGCTATGTATGTCTTGTTGTGTGTGTGTGTGTGTGTGTGTGTGTGTGTTGCTGTCTACCAACATGTAGTGCTGAAATGCTCACGATACGGCAGATCTATCAAAAGGGGTCTGGCTGGATCGCTGAGCTGCTTTTAGGGTCCAGCAATGAGAGAGTTAAGCCTGGCTCGGTGTTTGATTGCACATCTGTCAGATTTTAGGCTGGTGACGTGTGGTAGCAGGAAACTGGAGTGTTTGCAACTAAAATCGATGAGACTTAGCTGTGGGCAGGGAACAGGAGCAGAGCAGGGCAGTGATCTCTGAGATACAGTATCACAATAGGACTGTTATTGGAGAGAGAGGTCTCATCGCTGACTGCTCTGCAAACACCAAACTAGGACTGAGCATACCCCCAGCCAGGAAGCCAAAAAACAACCCAACTACCAGCTGCCTCATTGGGAAGGTTGGATTAAAGGGACCTGGGAGCCAGGAATGTGGGACTGAAGACATCTAATGAAGAGAGCCTGGATGTGGAATCTCTAAAGAATAACCCAAACTATCCTGCATTGTGCCTGCACCTCACAGAGGTAAGGATCCATCTCCTCCTAATAACATTTCTGTTTGCTGCAATTCTTGCTTTTATTGTGGGTGTTAAAAGGGTTAATGAATAGGGCAATTTTTTTGTCTTTTTTATTTTTTTTGAATGCTCAGACAATAACCATAGTGACTGACAAGGATCTCGGAATGAGAGGTTTGGGTTCTCTGTTCAGGAGATAACCAGGGATTGTGCTGGATCTTGTAGAGACAAAAAGCCCTCGATAACCAGAGGCCAGATACATCATCTTATTTAAACGAAAAGTGATTTACTCAAACACTAAGCTGTGGTTCTTTCCAGTCAATTTAGAGTGAAGATTAATGACCGCAAGACTAGATAAAGATGCGGATGCTGTAGCCTGAAGCCATGAATGTCCAGTTGGGTTTGGAGAACAGTGAAGACATGTCCAGCTCTGACCAAGTGCTAATGCACAATCAAAGTAGGAGCTTGCATCCACCTGTCCCTCGATCATCGTTGGTGTCCAGCATGACCTCCGTTTTAGATGGCAGTGACTTCCATCGCTCAGACCACCACCTCACTACCTCCCTCCACCCTGGACTTGGATTTGGGGGTGATTCCCCACCAGCATCTGCAAATAGCTATACGACGTTGACCCCGCTTCAGCCCCTCCATGAAAAGTTTCATCACCACCAGCACCACCAGTGTGTCCCAGTTGGTAACGTGATTGGGAGTTTTACGCTCATGAGAGAAGATAGAGGCCTTGGACCTCCAGGCAATTTTTATAGCCACTATCCCAAAGATATATCCATGGGTCAGAGTCTAACATCCATACCTAGCCCAAACCTTACAAGCATGCACAGTTATGGCCATCACTCGGGACACTTGGGTAATGAAAAGATGGTCACGGGCAATGGCTTTGAAGGCCACCACTCCATGTTTAGCAGAATCGATCAGCACTTTTCCAGAGAGTTATCTCCACCTCCAAATTCAGGTGTGGGGTCACCGAACTCCATGCACCAACATCCTTATGCCCATCACAGAGCCGAGTTAAACTGTAGGCAAAACCCCCAAATGCCAACTCAAAGCACGGCCCTTTCAAGTCAGTTGGAGGAAATTAATACCAAAGATGTAGCCCAAAGAATCATAGCTGAACTGAAAAGATACAGTATTCCACAGGCAATCTTTGCAGAGAGAGTTTTGTGTAGGTCACAAGGCACTCTCTCAGACCTTCTGAGGAATCCCAAGCCCTGGAGCAAGCTCAAGTCCGGGAGAGAGACCTTCAAGAGAATGTGGCGGTGGCTTCAGGAACCAGAGTTCCAAAGAATGGCAGCTTTAAGGTTAGAAGGTAAGATACTTTTTACAAAGCATGCTGGTTACCAGGACCTCGGACAATACAGGAAATAAATAAGGGGGGTACATTTTTTTAAGGGTTTTAGGTACCTCAAAATATTAGAGGACCCTATATTAATTGTTCATTTATGGCAACGATAAGGATGATACAGTCAGGATATCTTTGTAGGCCTTCAAGTAAGAAATAAGACTTGCAAAAATTGTCACGTAGGCCCTTATCCACAGATATAAGCATTGGGATAGTGTATGATGAAGTGAAAAGCAGGGGGAAAATTCACCATGAACAATCATCAAAAATATCACACAACAAGCATTAGAGGCAACACTGCAAGATGGCGGCCACATGTCTACTTCCAAGAGACGTGTTAGAGACATAGAAAGCTCCTGTATGAAGGAAGAAGAAAAAACACAAATCAGTACGCAATATTAAAAAAAAAGACTAGGATTGGAAGTCATTGGTTTTCTCCGTTTTCCAAAAATTCCCTGTATTGTTTTTGGTCATTTTCTAAGAATGAGAACTAATCATGGTGATATATAAAAAGATGACTTATAAAACCTTTTCTAAATCATCACTATATCCATATACACGTAGTGTGTAATACACATGATATGGACTAGTTACACATACACAGGCACAGTAATAAAAATTGCAATTAATAAAAAAAATGTAAAACCTATTTCTATTATTCTACTTAATCTGGGCAGGGAGATTGGTAACTTTCCATAACATCTAAAAAACAATTAATTTATATTAACGAGAATTTAAAGATTGTTAAAATTACACACTTCTCCCTCACCCACCATTATGTTTTTTTAATTCGCAAATCCCCTTCTTTTATTTGACTATCTGTCATATTTCTCCCAGTATTTACAAAGGAAAATACATTATATTGTCAGTGACAAAGGGTCAATCTCTACAGTCACAGAACAGATATATTTTCGGTTTGATTTTGACAATAACGTATTAGCATCTGTATTGATAGAGGTAAAGAAATATTTTAATCAATAGATCATTTTAATATTGATTATCTAGCTGTTAACCTTTTTACTAAAAAAACTAATCTGGACATTTTACAAAAATACATTACATTTTAACAGACATTTCAGTACAAATATGTCAATAGCATAATAGTAATAATATACATAATATTTTCTATAAAATGTAAAACATCACAGATTTTAGCAGAAGGCTTGCATGGAGAATTAGACCTTTCGTGGCCTATCTAGTCTGACTGTCTTTCGTCTCAAATGGCATGTTCTATATGTGCCTTGAAACTATTTTAAGAATAATAGATCAATTAAATTTCACATCAATAACAAGTTATATATCGTGCTTTATGAATTTGTATACACTTTCCAATTATATACTGTTAAAATAAAATAATTTAAAAAATTATTTTTAACATTTAAGAAAATCCCCTATAGTGCAACTAGGTATAATTTGAAAATATTATTTAGTAAAAATAGTTTATTTAACTCAATAAAAAATAAAAAGAAAATGAAATAAAGATGTCCAGCCCTCTATAATGTGAATTTGTGAAAGAAAAAACATGTATTCAAATGTTTTTTCCCCCTGTATCTTCCTCACAGTAGGAGGGCAATTCAAGAGAATTGGTGTCCATATTCAGTGAATATTTTTTGTAACTGTGCTTCGATATAATTACAGTCTCCTCCAGACATCACAAAACACACTGTCTACAGGTAGTCAAATTGTTCTTTTGTGTTGTTAAAATTCAAATATTTTCATACAGATAAATTTATAAATCACCACCTTTTTTATTTGTAAGTTTCATATACAATATATATATATATATATATATGAATATCAATTCATCTACACCCTGACTACTCAATATATAAGAAGTATTTGATTTTATAAGTCGTTTCTCATCGTGTGTCGTAGTTTGAACATGCGTTTTTTTGAATAATAGTATTGACGTATTTTTCTTTTACCTGCGGCCAGCTGGCTGTAAATATTGGAGCGTCCATTTTGGGGTATAATTTTGCAGAAACTCAGATGTTGACTTTTTTTCAAAATGTATTTTTTTTAAACATTTACTATAATTAGTGTAAATATACTTAAGAATATTGTATTTATCAGTCTGATCGTACACCCATCTATCTAAATATGATGTGTTAAGAAAATATTACAGTGAAAGTTAATTATTTAATCTATATGCGTCTGTGAACTAGCTACACATTTATTTTTTTATGGTAGCACAAACTTTGTGCAGGTTATTAGATAGATATTTCATTCCTAATATACAAATGACAATACTATGTAGAGGCTGGGGAACTTTTCAATATGTTAATAAAGTTTCGGCAAATTTCACGGTAGTTAAGTAAATATGTTCGTCAATTTCTAATCGCTGTAAGATTTTGTACAGTTTTAAAATTTGGGGGGAGATTTTTATCAAAAATGAAAGAATATTTTTTGCAGTAAAAGTTATGTTGGATTGTAAAACACCACGAAAAAAGTATAACAAAGCTATGATATTTACTAAACTGCGTTTACACCTGCTTAGATCAGTCACACGTACAATAAAATATCTGTATATTCCCAGATTATGGGTCGAAATATCTCAAATACCCTGGCAATGTCTCAAAACTATTTTAAGAAATAACAATTTGGGAAATGTTATAAATTATAGCGTCAATCTAATAATTTTTTAAAACGTGTGGTAAGCGGAGGACTGTGAAAAATACCTTTTTTTAAAAAGAATACAATTTTAATAAACAGTGAAAGTGATCTAAGCAATCCAAGCTGGAGAACGTAAGACAAGAAAGGGGTCATTTCTCCAAACTGAGTTTAAAGATCAAGAGAACTTCAAGGGACGCCCAGAAGAGCGGGTAGAATCCCATACAGGAATTAATTAAAATTAACAAAATAAATATGAAAGATAAAAGTAATTATTATACATACACGGGAGCCCTACACATAAGAGATCTGTTATTTTCCTCAACCCAGGCACTTAATGGGTTAATGGGAGAAGTGGACGAGTTGTTCTATAAAGTTTTAAAAAGAACTAAGGTAGAAAGGAATGGACTATTTAGTGGGCTCTAGTCATCTCTCCTGAAGACATTTTTTGTTCCAAGTTTTTAGCGTAATGTGTAGTAGTTTGGAATTACCAAATATTCAGTGGACTTAAGTAAATGTCATGGGCGTAAAAAAAAAAAAATTTAAAACAGAGAGAGAGAGAGTGAGGAAGAGAAAGTCATGTAACATTTAATGTTTCTTCTACTGCAAGAAACTAAATATAACGTATCTGTAAAAAATAATCAATGCAGGTTATGTACAAAAAATAAAATAACATATTATATATTTATGAAATTGTGGAAAATGGATTGATTGTCAGGGACTGTTAAATGAGAAAACAGAGCAAGCACGTGATATGTTAATAATTAAAATTCTATTGATTGTAAAAAAAAAAAAATACCACAATAAATGTGTATTAAATTACTTGTGATACTATATGTACATGCAAATGAATTATTAATACTATATAATAACGGTGCCCATCACTGGCCCTTAAACTGCAGCAGGTCTAAATTTCCCATAATTCTCTGAAAGGCGATTCTAACAAAAGCCAAAGCGTCAAAGTTGACAAGAATTTGATAAAATGTTAGAGATAATTGGTACACGAATATTCCTGTCTTGTCATTCTTAAAGCCATGACAGCTTCAATTATTAAATATATAAAAACAACTATTTTATACAATTATACATTTTCCCTACCATTGTTAAAATACATAAACGGATGGGGGAGGGGGGGTCGTTCGTGCAATTTGTTTTATCTATGCACAAACTGAGCGCTGTTTAACAAAGAGTTAAGCGTGATATAGAACTCACCCTTCATAATAAAGATTATTACACTATATGAATAGAATAATGATTCTTTAGATCTGGAAAATAAGTGACAAAGAATAATGCTACACTGAGCCTCATGCGTTTCCATTTCTAATGGAATTAGGAATTGTTGGCAAATATATTTGATATATATTTTATTATTATTATTTTAAATTTTTTATTATTTTTTTTTACTTATTTTTTTAATTCATTTTTTATTTTTATTTTTTACATTCTTTATATGTTAACAATTCACTTAACAGGACAAACAGCACAGAAAATGAGAAATGAGAATGGAGTTTAATAAATGCTACATTTAGTTTTGTGTATATCGATACGCACACTTTGCATATTAGACTTTTCATCCCTTTTTATCTCTGCCATATTGTGCGAGTCTGTGTTTTATATATATACAAAAAAGTGGGTATCTTGGCACTCACCCTTTTCGGATAACAATACATTTTCTGCCTTGGTACAATCCCACGTTGAGAGGATATATAAAGAAAATAATGAGATGCACTCTCAGGGCTTGTAAAGTGAAAAAAGAGGATTTATTCCAATAGGTATTTACATAAAAAAAAACAACGTTTCGACCCGTTGGGGGCTTTCTCAAGGTCCAGATATATATATATATATAACAAACACCAGACACTGGACTTTCACACCGGTTCAGACAGCCTGCTCACATAAATTCAGTTGGAATGCATCATGTACAGAGAGTGATTGATGTCTTTTAATTAACGACCATCAAATCATTATGAAGCTTTTAAGATCATTTTTGTTTGCATATCTACATTGGACAGTAGCTATTACTTATCACTGGCTCCTTGTATATTTACATTCCTATAATACATGCTGAATACAGCATTCCGCACGCTTATTTATTTAACATTAAAATTCCAAAGGGACGTTTAGAAAACTGGGAGTGGGGGGGTACATCAAAAAAACAATCGTTGCCAAACTGAGCGATTGTGCACAATACCTTTAATTATTTGGGACGGCATTCTGTATAGATAACAAACATTTTTAGATTGGGGCTCGCACTATTACTTATGGACTGAGCTGGCAATATAAGGGTTACAGCAAAAATCATTGATTTCTACCGCCGACTCAGCGCCATTCACGCACACACACACACACAATCCACTCATAAACTACCCACAATTCTCTGCGCCTGATTCCCTGGGGGGGGCTTTCTGTTAGCATTTTATTGATTTTTTATTTTACAGAAATTAGCCCCTCTCACGACCCCCCCCCCAAGAATCGTTTGCATTATATTTATTTATTTTTAATACATCTTATCTACTTTAACGATTCACGTGATATAAACAAACAGGAAGGCGGAAGAAGAGAAATGAGTGCGAGATTTATTAGACTGGAATAAGTATAGATTTTTTTTTTTCTCATCCGAGTCGCCTTTGTCTTGATAAACATACAAATTCCTGCATGCCTCATTTTACGCCATGATTTATATATTTTATTCGATACTGCCTGTAAGTAGGATAATAAAAGCTCTGCATTTATAAAATTGCAGGTACCCACATGTGTTTTTACCAGCATTAATACCCCTGCATTTTTTTCCCGTTCTCCATTTCATGGCTGCACCTGTTGTTTTTGTAATGGACAAAACTGAGCATGCTCAAACTGTGACAATAGATTGTGCGTGCGCATTACACGACAAGAGGGGATTCAGAGCATTTTTATGATAAAAAATTATTTCAGATAGGTAAAACAGTCTTTACCAGTGCCGAAAATGGTAAAAGAGGAAAATTAAAAACTGATTTGAGGGATATTTTTCCACCTGAATATGACTTTTATTCTCTATCAAAACATCAATATCTTCCAATTTAGGTTGCAAATTATTAATTTAGCTATGGTATAGCTTTGAAGGGCATGAAAAGGAAAAACGGCCAATTATTATTCCTATTTATATAGCGCCAACATATTCCATAATGGTTTACAATCATAAAAAGGAGACCTTTAACAAGTAGTTGACATAAAAAATGTTGGCAGTGACAAGAGGTGAGGTTGTAATTCTAGTTGAAAGAAGTATTGTACAGTATGTGCAGTTCGAAGGGTGGTATCTATAAATATATATAATAAAAATCATTTTTAAAATACAATGGATAACAAAGGGGGATTTTGTAAGGTGGGGAGATGAAGTTAGAAGCTCGATGTTGCCATACGGGTCTCATTTTCACTCTTGTGAACCAGGTTAATTCATACTTCGGAACACACGAGACTTGGCCAAAGACTCTGATTGTCACTGATATCTGTGCCTCCATAGCAAGGTCTTCTTCTAAGAGTAGAGTAAGTGTTGATAAAATAAACCTGGTTGCACCCAATGTGGTACCCCAACCCAGCAGATTTATTGATCATGAAAAATAAACTCCCACCTTTGTAGTAGTCTTCTTGCTCAGTATATGAAAAAGGAGAGTTCCACTGTTTATTTTTTGCTACCAATAACTCTCCTGGATTAAGGTAGAATCCTAAACTGCATGTAATTGGTAATATTACTTTGGTAGAAAGGTAGAGCCCCCTATACTCATCCTAGTGGTGTTGGTGGTGATTAGCCTCACATACATGTCACCAATCTCTGTACAAGCAATGAGTTTTCTCTTCTAGATACACCTATTTTTTAGCCCTTAGGACAACGAAGTTCTTTTTGCTCCAATGACCATAGGATCTAGGTTTTAAGTTTGTGATTGCAAAATAGCCCTTCCAAATGATGCAATACTGTTAGAAAAACGTTCCAAATGATTTATCTAGAAATAAAATTCATAGACTTTAATGGTAACTTCTCCAGATAAATCCTTTAGAAAGTTTTTCTAACAGTCTTGAATCGTTTGGAAAGCTTACTAAATCGAGGTCTATGTATCCAGAAGTCTGCGTGTCAGAAAGGATTAAGGGAAGGCGTATTACAATAACAATACAGTAACTGTATTTGTAAGGCCAACGCAAACATTTCCTATTAGTTTGTTACAGAAGGGTTAGCAGATCCCCATTTTTATGAGAGATAGCTCTATAAATGTGTAAACATTTATTGGGTAGGTATTTGATTTAAATCTTCATGATTTTCAGTCCAGGTCTTAAATATCACTGATAAATAGGGAATCCAGTCGTATGGACTACTAATGACCAGTCGTATGGACCACTAATAACCAGTCATATGGACCACTAATGACCAGTCGTATGGACCACTAATGACCAGTCTATGAACCAATAACATTAAGATACACACACAAAAAAAAAGGAAAAACAGATGATGCTACCAAAGTTAGGTTTTAGGAGGAAGGGATGTTTTGGGAATTTATCTAATAATAGACATTCTGTACACATTCTTACCCCTGCAATACATGTGTTATGGTGTATTGTATGTCCACTCACTCATTGACATCCTCTTAAACCCACTGCAGGAGTAAATTCATACATTTATCAGTGTGAGACATAAAGAGACATAAACACAAACATTAGACAAAATCAGGGACAATAAGCATATACCATTACAGCTCGTAGTATTCATTACAGCTTATTGGATTATTATAGCTCATTGTGTCCATTTCTGCACATTGTAGTGGTTATGGTACAGTTGGTGGGCATCCTGTTATATCAGACCATTTTCAAATTGTTTGACAAACAGGGGGCTCTCCTGCAACTACAGTGCAACACTTGACCCTGCCAGACTTTGTACGGCCTTTGCGGGCTAGAGCACAGAGTTAACAGCTTATCTTTGCATATATACCTCTCAGCTTATCTTTGCATATATACAATGTTTGTCCCTCTTGTCAGTGTATTAGGCGTTAGCGGTGTCTCTGGTTTATATATTGCACCGTTTTTGTGCAGTTTTTTTCTTTTACAGTGTTGGTTAAGAGGACTGACGGGTCTCTGTATAGCGATATCATGTTCTCATTCTCCATCCTCTGTCCATTAATTCTCCTATACTACTTACAAATCACTATTCCAATAAAATTGTCACCAGATGTCTCCTGCAAGCCTCACGCACAGTCAGCACAGCTCTCTATCTACATCTGTCCCAATTCAGGACTGTCTAACACAGCCTCTTGTATGCATGTCAGTGGCAGCCAGCTAGTAAATAACTTTGTGTGACCCAAAACTTAGATTTCTCTATTTGCGACTACCGGCCCCCTAATTAACCCCTAAGGAACAATGACGGTATAATTCCACTTTAACAATCTATTCTATAAAGAGCCTGTATATCAACACTTAATGTCTCTCAGGGTGAAAGCAGGGCTATGTTGAAATGACAATCCTCAGTACATGCTGGTATAAAAGCTTTAGAGAACGGGTTTGGATGACAACATGAGATCTCGGTGGTCTTACAAGCGGTTAATCCAGAATGTGCGTTAGTTTATTGTTTAATTGAAGAGATGTAAAACGCCAGTTGATTGGGTTTCAGGATAGATAATTCTAAGCACATTCCATCAGCGGAATAAAACGTTAATTGTTAGATTATGCGTTAATCATTTCATTCCTAATTGGCACTCTGGATTACGGCTTTGGTTTAAAAAGAAAAACTCTTACTACCTACACGCTGTCCTCTAACCATCCTGCGTATTGTCACTATCATCGATTTTATATTTAATTATTTTATTTTTTATGAAGTCTAGGCCCACTTTGCCAATGGTTGTTATACAACGACATAAAAAAAAGAGGGGGATAAATATATGAAATATCTATATAGAGAACGAAATGTATCTTTGTTAAGGCATGTACAGTGCCAATGTTAGTGAGTTGGTCTGACAGTGAGGGCTAAAGTGTATATTTTCAGGAACAATTCATTTGATTTTTTTGGCCATAATTAGTGAATTGGAAATATTCTTTATGTTTGAAATTCATGCTGAATTATCAACAATTCACTCTATAGTACATAACCTTATGGTGTGAGGTTACTAGATCTCTCTATAAAATGCTATGTTATGCATTCCCTATTACACTGAAATTCTGGGTACTATAAATAAAATCAGATATAAAGTCAATGTGATGAGGAAACCTATTAACCACAATTTGCCAAGGACAAACATGGGTCACAATGCAGACAAAGATCCACCTAGGGACTGTCTCTACAAATCCAGGACACCTGGCAGGAATGCATAGAATTCTAATATGCCGTGAATAGAAACTCAGCACTCCTTGCACACTTTTATAAAATGAATATGATTATTTAGCTAGCTTTGATAACATTTAGATTTATAACCAATTAACTCTTCAGCTTCTGATGGGAATATAAAGCCCATATAACATGTTGCATTTTTTTAACAGCACACACGTATTAAATTTGCAATCCTAATTAAACATTGGGCAGCGATTAAAAAATCCCAGTTTTCTCCTGTATTGGGCCTGGACCGTCGTGGGTTAACGTGTGTTATATGAAGAGCTGTATGCAGGCCACACAGCTGAGATGAGATCAATATTTCTCTATCAGTGTGCAATGTCCCAGACAAGAGATGGGGGAAGGGATGGGATTTCCACCAGATGGGGACAAAAGGTTGAAAAAAATGGGGTATATTCGTTATATAATGCAATTGCTGCCATGCCCTTGTCCATCATTGACTTATTGGGGTCTATACACAACTAACATAGGACGATCTTATCCCATCAATATATGCCTGTTGAAAGAATATATGAAATCGACAAAAAAAAAAATTGTAGGGCTTATTCACTAAACATTGGTCTGCGGTGAACTAAACCCAGAATCACAAATTTCAGGCGAGAGCGGCTGCACTGGGAAATATATCCAACTGAGTTTCTCATTCCAGATTTAGAGATTCCGTTTTCTTTTGGCCAGATATCCCTGATAAAACCCCATAGAGTCTAAACTAGTCATATAATTAATGTAATTTCCAAGTAGTTTAGTATGTGTGATTAACCCCTTCACTTACAGCTATGCTTTTAATGTGCTACGCAACAATCTATGGACATCTTCCTGTTAAAAAAAAAAATAATAAGAGTAATAGTAGATGCATGAAACAGCCTTTTGGGGGAGGTGGTACAGACTAATAATGCAGGACAGTCCCTGAATAGTTATGGCAGCTTGTGTTATTTTGGGGTGAGCACTGTTTAAGGAGGTCTCTCATAGGCACAGCTAACATATACCTCCGTCCACTCTCTAGAACAGGGATAGGCAACGTTCTGCACTCCATGTGTTGTGGACTACATATCCCGTTGCACTTTGCCAGAGTTATGGCTTCAAGAGAATTATGGGAGACGTAGTCCACAAAATCTGGAGTGTTAACGCTTGACTCCCTTTGTTCGAGAATTAACACAATTACTGTATTCAATTACCACGACCACAATCATACCATGGGATTTGCCTGAACCAATGTTGACAAGGGGTTAAAGGTGCTTTAAACAGGTACTTTTTTTTTTTTTTAAAGATTGCCACTTTTCCAAATTCTACCTTGTACCAGTCAGTATAACCAATAACCAATAACCAGTTTTTGCATTAAAATCCACATTATCAAACGACCAGTGAGAGCAGCCATCTTAACACCCCATATATTACGTCTCCTCTTTGAAGACAGCTGATTGGTTCCTGTGGGTTCAGAGGGAGGGGTTGCAGGAAAGGAGAAGATTTTACGAAGATACATTTTTTTTTTTTAAACAAACCTTATTAAGACACTAACACTGATTGCAAAGAAAACACTACGCGTTATAACTAGTTTGTTAAATCCATCAAACCGCGTCAGATGCAGTGTAGGCAATCACCTGGTGTCCACAACAAGCCCTTAGCCTGCAGGATCAATCATGACTAGCTAATGTCATTTATGTTGATTCCTTATTTGCGTTTTCTTGTAGGAAATGTACTCCTCCATATTAGATGTCAGGTTAAAACATTGCAAATGTGGGTAATGAGAGCCCTGATGCAATGCTGTAAGTGGTTGCGATAAATATGGACTGACTGCAGCGCTGGCCCTAGGCCTTAAACAGGCCCACTGTGAAATTTGGGAGTAACGCCACCCTGCCCGTCATTACTGATTGCCATCATTTAATGAAAAGAGATAAAAAGTCACTTCTGACATAGCAATTTGTGTGTCTGTGACAGTGACCATTTTATGTAAAAAGTGGCTTTTTAGTAAAATATTTTTTTAATGGTTTGTGCAATATTTGTACATGTGAGGGTTTCTGTGTGTACCAATGCACGTGAATGTCTCTGTATAACAGTGTGTATTGTGTGAACAGTGTCATCACAATATCACAGTTTGCGTGTGTTCTGGCAGTGGATCTATGTCAGTGCTCCTGTGGAGTGCACAGGAGCATGTGTAATGTGTTTTGTGTAATGTGCATGTGTAATGTGTTTTTACATTGTCTATATGTGTGTATGTATGTGGCTGTTCCTGTGTTTGTGTGTACAATATCACATGTATCCTATGTTCATGTGTGTGTGCAAAGCTTGTATGTGTGTTTGTCAGTGTTCCTAAGCTCCCATTTAAATGTAGAGTGCAATTGTAAAGTGCAACTCCCATGATGGTCAGCCAGCCGTGTATACCAGTTGGATTCTCCTCATTAGTTATTTCTTTCTGCTCCCTGCTAGTTATCTCTCACTAGCCCACTCTCCAGTTACCTCTCGCTCTCTCTGGCCATAGTTGTGGTAGTGTGGGTGCACGATGAATGCCTAGGGCGATGCTGTGCTTTTCTTCTCCACCATAGTGCTCTGTGCGGCCGGAGGCATACTGTGAGTGGGCGAGGTGGGTACATGACATAATGCCAACACCTGTTTGTTTCACTGTACTGTTGGCCGGCACGTGGCGTACCGAGGCTAAGAAGGAAGGTACACTGCTGCCCTGTCTATTCACTGTTTTGACATTCTATAACAAATTCTGTGGGTGGCTAGAGGGGGTGTAGGTGGGTGCAAACTACTTGCAGGTTTGTGGAATTTTCTGAACTCTACAATCTGCCTATTGCTGGCAGGGTGGCAGTGCCCACATTCTCTCTGCTTTCTATGTGATTGCACAGGTCACAAGTCCCTAAGGCTGACCCTGAATGATTGAATGGCATGGTCAACAATAGTTGCTGCAAAGGATTCTGGGTATGGTTAGTCTTTTTATTTTAATTTTTCATTAATTCATTAAGTCATTATGTTTCTTTTCTTACTTGTCTACAGCCTGCAAAAGGAAAGAGCAAGAACAAAGCAAAGTCGAAAGAAATCACGTGCCTAAACGGCACCGGCTTGTGTTCACCGATATCCAGCGCCGTACGCTACATGCCATCTTTCATGAAAACCAGCGACCCTCCAAGGAATTGCAGATCACCATCGCCCAGCAACTGGGCTTAGAACTTTCCACCGTAAGCAACTTCTTCATGAACGCCCGCCGGAGAAGTCTGGACAAGTGGATGGAAGAGGGTCACGGACACCCCTCATCTTCGGGATCTTTGTCTTCTAAGGGTGGTTCAGCGATCGCTTGTACCAAAGCATGATTCGTAGACTGTAAGGCTATCAACCAAAGATAGGAGCAGAGAAGCCGCACCTTCACCAGTTCTCCGTTACAGACACAGATTCGTAAACACGTATACATGAAGTGTGATCAAGAAGTGACTTACAGGAGGTACGAGTGAATGGCTACCTGTCTCCGACACCTGTCATTTTCAGACACCTGTCCGATACCTCTTTAAATCTGGATTCAGACTTGTTCATGTTTGTTCGTAATTTATTGTTTTTAATTTAATATAATGCTGACAGAATACACAGCGCACTGCATTAATACAGGTAAAAAAATAGTCTACCCTAACAGGTATATTTTGGTACTTTTACACAGGAATGTCATCTGACATGTCATCTGACTATTATATGTCTTTGCAGGGGGGATCATTCTCCCCAAGAATTCCCTGTGCAAAGATTTTATTTATTTAATTCCTTCGCCATTACTGCATGCCATCAGTTATTGTATGAGGCAATGGCAATACCTAACGGGGCCTTAACACAGCCTGGGTGGATATTATGTATTTTATTAACTCTCAGTCATATTTCGCAGAAGGTCACACTTGGACAGAGTTACAACTTTATATTCCACAGGGGAATATCAGATTTATAGTGTTTACCAGGCTACGGCCAACGCGTTTCACAGATTCAATCTTGCTCACAAAGTCTCCTTTGATTTTAATTGTGTATAGTGAGCTTGTAATATGAGTTGAGTGTGAGAATGTCCTTTCTAAAGAGGATATGTCACCTCCAACTCAATGCAAGACATTCCCATTATTTTTAAAAAGAGTAGGAAGTACCCATACCTAGAGCATTATTTGACAGACCCAGACGTCAGTCCCAAATTTTACAAATGTTTGTCAACGCATGGCCTAGGGGGGTCTCAGCATGCATGTTCATACCAGGGGTTCTTAACTTCTGGATCGGGTTCTAAATCTGGGTCCTTAAGGTTTTCAGTGGGTTTCAGTCGCCTAGAAAAGGCACATCATATCTGTCACACTATGACACAGTTGGTCACCATGCTAATTCTACAGTTTAAGAATGGGTCATATATAATTCCTCTGGTGTAGGTCCAAAAGACTGTTATGATTTCATAAAAAAAATGTCTTTATGATGGAGCTAAATTATTTAATTTTAGAGAAAGAGAATTAGATCCCCAATTATTGAGGAATAGCAATTCACATGATGTTCTACAACTAAAAACGAGATGTAGACATTTTGGCTACCTCGTTGTGCGAGGTTTGGCTTAACTTCCCAGTGTTAAACAACTCATCACAGTTAAAATTACAAAATCAAAACGTTTCGTAAAAAAAATTTATACAATTTAATTATTTATTTGTTTAAATGTTTTTTTTTGGGTTTTTTTTAAGAAATTTGGAAAATTACATATTTGCAAACCTTAAAAAAAAAACAAATTTACACATTTGTTTTGATCTTTTTTAGTTAATAGGATGTAAAAACCAAAGCAACCTTGAATGATGATAAACCAAAGGAAAATATATATATTTTTTTTTTTTTAAAACCATGAGCGCTTTAACGAAATATAGAAAACAGATAAGGCTAGGATTTATCAGGCGTCGAATTAAGCATTAAAATATTAATTTACCAGGAACATATACAAGTCAGCCTTATTGCCCCTTCCCATTTGTATATATATATATACACAATCCAGCGCACTCACTTATTCACTAAACAATCATTAGGACCTGCCAAGAATGGGGTACACTGATGTTGTGGCAGGCTTATCCAACATATGATCATTTAAAGTAACTAAACCCCCATTATTTTTTGCCTAGGTGTTTTTAAATAAAAATATCACAATCTGTGAGATTTGAAATCATTGTTTAGTGAATAAGCGAGTGCGTTGGATTCTGTATTTTATATATTGTATATTTTTTCCCCCAGCAGCACCCTATAATATATGTGGGCTTTCATGCCGTGCCAGGAGACCTCCATGACTGAGTGCAGGAGGAACAGGATTAAGCCCTAAGACATGGAGATGTCCTCTCCCATAACACGGGCAGAAAGATGTCACCAGTGAAAATAGTTAAGACTTCCGAGTTTGATTGCAGTGCCATGTATGGGAATAGTTTGAGCTAAAAGCCTCTTTCCAAACCTGGAGAAGAGGGTCGTCACATGGAAATCTGGAAGCCAGCTGCCAAACACAGAAACTTCAGTTCAATCCAGATGGTTCCTAAAATGCAAATCCACCATTTGCCAGTCCAGTTTAACTTTGCTTCCAACTGGGAGTTTGCTGGCCCGAGATACCTCCTATCTGAGAATGATCGACCTGCCAGATATAAGCCTATAGTTCTCTTGAGCTGGGCTTGGGGTAATTTATTTAATGCTCACTCTAGTATTGTGCAAGATACAATCTGGGCTTTCTTTGACCACATACACTTGGCTCTAGAGCAGACCTTCCACCGAAAGAATGTTCTCTAGTTCCTATGGAAGGCTATGAATCTATTATGCACTAATAGATGTAAAGTCTCTCTGACGTTAGAACATAGTGACCCATAGTGACATGACAGAGTACTGTAGGAACCACAGAACATTTTAACACGACTGTGGATAAAGTTGTATGGTGGTGTTATGAGATATTACATCTCTTTGCAGGTGCTGAATGACTAACCCTTAAAACTAAACAGAGGGCCCTGCATGTTCTACTCTCGATTTATTCGAGGTAAACTACATTTGTAGTGATAACATGTTCTATCATCAGCTGAGGGTCCAAGTCTCATGTCTAGCTGACCCCCTCCAACCCAACCAGTATGCATTCAAAGCTCTGCTCTGTACACTTTGAAGAGATGTTGACCTGTTTGATCTTCAAAAGCAGTGGCTTGAAGCTTGGACACAGAGCCAGTCACTCCCCGAGTACTTTATTTTATTCCTGACCGGCTGATGAGGAATTAGTCAGTTCAATAGAACAGCAGGGGGTGGAAGGACGTGAGGGTTAGAAGGTCAAACAGTACTCCAATCTCTAGTGGCTGCCTCTGATCTCTTCTCTAAGGGGGGATTTATTAACCCCGTGGCTTCCAGAGGCTTTTCAGGAAATTTTCAAAAACAAACAAACCCCAAAGCACGAAAATAATGTGTTATATATCAAGAACGTACACGAAGCAGCTAAAATACGAGCAAATACATTTAAGAACAGTCACTTAAGGCATAGCTAGCCCCTCAAGAGTTTGGACATTATTAAAATATATAATCCTTATAATATATTGATACTCTGAGGATAACAGTCTGAATTTAGGCAGGTAATACCAAGTTACGCACTACTTATTCACGTTAGCGAGTCAGATTATTGTTTTTCTTCAACTGGTTTAGCATTATCTGCACATTTACGGCCTGTTGCAATGGATGCCACCTTAACATATCACGCTACCCTCTCCGCCAGCATTTAACAACAAGCTTTACAATAGTAACATATTTGATTACTTAGTCGCACTTGTCATTACAGGGGATTTTGAAAAAAAAAACTTTACTGAAATAAAATTTTTAACGAGTTAGCACTTGTAGGTACTGAAATCAACAACAAATGGGGGGGTGGGTGTTAAACAACATGGCCGTTTCAGTGTAAAATTAGCATGTGAGCCAGTAATTGTACGTACAGATAAACAAATGGTAGCACTAATATAGCAGCTCCCCACCCCCAGCAAACCTCCCTGAACGCCACGACCTGTCACCACAGAAAATGTCAGAATTTGCCATATCCCGTCCCCTGGGACCTACTTCGATGACATCCGTTACCAAAATTCATTATCATGGCCGCCGCGACACTGACCTCATTTAAAGCATCTCTCCATCATACCTCTTGCGTCTCATCAGACCTACTGCTATGATATCATAAATGAAAATATAAACAGGCTATTGATCGGTGATATTGACCTGTTTTATACGATGCTATCAGGTAGTGCAGATGGAAATGGTTGTTTATGGGAAGAAATGTAATGTTAAACTGAATTAGGACTATCCCATTACCCTGTACGGATGAGTCAATAAATGTGTTTATACTGCGAGGCACTTTATCTGCACATACTAGTTTCATATTAAGAACTGCCTAACTAGAACTTAATTGCTACATACACTTCATAAGGATGACCCTGTTTGGGCATATTATTAATAATACGGAGATTTACAGTGAGTAGGTGAGGAAAAAGCTACAGAATATCAAAGAGAACAAATGTATACTGTATAAATACCTATGTTAGGCAAGAAATATTTTTTTTTTCAGATTTCATACTTTGCCTAACCCCGCGTAGACATTGCTGAAAATGCCCAAACACTGACCGTAATCTTTAGTTGGCTTGAAACTGCAAAGCCATTTAGAGACGAAAAGGACACTAAGGGATTATTCAGTAAACTCCAAAAATGCGGTAAAATAAAAAAAATTATGAATAAGCCCCTAAACCTGTATTATAGAATACACATCGATAGAAAGCGCATTCTCAAAAAGCAATGTTTGGTGAAAATTAAATGAACACTCAAATATAGTTCTTTTTACGTTACAACGTGCTTGTTTTAATTTAGATAGCTCCCCCTTGGAGAAATCACCTAAACTTGCAATTACAAAACAATTGGGGACCTATGGCACATACGTGGTTTTCACTACCATCCACCAAACCACAAGACAGGATTTATACAGATATCATAACCCAGACACGCATATCCAAATATATACCCTCTTTTAGGGTCTTTAAAAGGAAGAAAAACACAGTTAATTCATTTTCCAGTTCAACGTTTCTGTGAAAGATTGAACGGACAAATGTCATCAAATATTAACGTCTCATTTTTTAAATGTTTATTGCACTTTTGAAACTTGGTTATATTTTTTATTGGTGTATATTGATCTTTTTTTTTTTTAGAAAATTCCACTTTAATCGGCTGAGCCATGTTGGGTTACACAGTACGGTTATCTGACCAGCTGCCAGTCAACCTAACTTGCCAGTTCCTGCAGGTTCACATACAGCTTCAGGAAAGTTAGTTTGAGTTGCAGTTGATCAGATAAGAGTTGTGTCTGACCCAAGATGGCGGCTCAGACAGATTAAAAATAAAAAAGGTGAAATTTTCCCCATAAAATCAATATACATCATTAAAAATAACCCATTAAGTTTCATTAAATGCAATTTAATTTTTAAATAATGAGAAGTGAAAATTTGATATCAGTTGTCCTTTAAATTTGTCCTCTTGGGTGCAGTAATCGACTGAATGCTCCCAATGTATACAATCATTTCAAAATATTTTCTGCTTAACTAGCAACATGGAGAATACATGAGTTCACATCAATCATAAGAACCCGCCATCATACAATTTGACTTAGTAACCATCTGGATTCAAAATGGAGACTACTGTTAACAATGCAAAATGGCTGCCCTCATGCTCAAATAAAGAAAATAAAGAATTCGAAATGGCTGAGAATTTAATCGACGAGGGTGGAGGGGGGCAGAGTTTTGTTTTTCATGTACAGTACTGATAATATTTAAGGTAGAATGATGTCATGTTAAAGAGTAATTAAGGCTGTTAAAAGACCAAAATATGCCATGGTGTCCCACGGCTATTCTGGCAAATAAGGTCATGGAATTTATCTATGTAACTTAAACCAAAGATTTTAAAAAATAATAATAAACGTGATGTGTGCGACAATTGTTTTTGGGTCCATACATTGTGTTTTTTGCTCGTAAAAGATTTGGAAATCAAGTTTAGAAAACAGGGTCAGAATGCAAAATGCAAATCAATATTTTTTTTTTATTTGTTGGTCTTTGGGATCATAATATATTTATCATAAAGAATAGTCACTAACGTGGTACTTGAGTGCTAGATCTTTCCTAACAGGTCCGGAAGTAACAAATTAAAGACACTTTGACATTCTGAAAACAAATTACTTTGAGGCTTATTCACTAAACACCAATTGCAGCGAATTCAAACCCAAATTTATTGAAATTTTGAAATAGTTCTCCAGAACGACAATAGTCATATTCTGAATATTTTAGTGTGTATTTTTTTTATCTTGCTGTTTAGTAAATAAACTCTTATTGTATCACAATATAAAGAAAAAAAATGTAATCCACATATTGCAAAGCAGATGCCTAGGTTACAATTGGGTCTAGAATTTACAATTTTAGCTTTTAAATCTACACTTGATGCTTGATCAAAAATGCTTGATCAAAAGAGTTAACAATGCTAGAAATGTTTGTACTAATTACATTTTGTTTTCGGACGCTTTAAAAATAACCAAAAATGGTAATAAAACGCTCAAAAAAAATTGCTGACAGACAATTAAATGTGATCATTATTTGTATCTTGAAACAGTTTTATTTGTGTTCTTACACGTTCCAAATTCTAGGTTTGCGGCAAGTAAGGTTACAATATCCACTAAGCTTTCTTGGGTACAGGTGGAACTGCAGTATGTAGAATTCATCTGCTTCAGGATTCGTCTTGGATCAATAAACTGACTGTCTAACTGAAATGCCTGAATTATACCTTAATATTATGTCTGCACTTTTCATGTGCTTCCCATCAATATGTAAATATGATTTGTGCCCAAGAAAACCAAAAAATACATTTAAAAAACCTGTTAATCTCTGAACTCCGAAGTTACCATTTTAAATGGACAATCTTTTACCACGTAGAATTTCAGGTTATTTTTCCCAGAATGTTTCGCTCCTTTTACGAACGCTCACTGATGGTGTACTTGATATAATAAAATAGACAGTAATTACTTAGATTTAGAGAGGTTAACCCCTCCATGACAGATGATATGCCACAACTGTCGTAATAATCAGAGTATACTCCTGTTATGAAGGGGTTAAGATTACGTAACTTTTGGGAGTGGAATATATTTTTTAGCAATGTGTGGGCTGTGAATCTGCTATTTGTAATATAATTTATTTAGGAGGACTTCTGATTTTACGGTTTGAAAAGTGCTCTAAATTGCTGAGTAATGCATTTATTTTTTGGGGGGTGGGGAATTTACAACTTTTGGGGTGCCATAGGGACTTAATGTATTGCTTCTCTCTACATGCATAAAGGGTTCAAAGGTCTCATCCCTGATTTTATTTGAAAGATGGTAAGAAATCCTTTAACATATTTATTAATTTCATGTTGATACATGCAGTGTTAAACACCTGTGCATTTTAATAATTATATATAAATATAATTCACGAATATAAATGAAACTTGAATGTTTAAACTTTGTTATTTGTGCTAATTAACCAAAGTCTTTTTGCCTGTACACATTTTAAAAACCCGTACATTTTATACCAAAGTTTTCTCAGATACCTCATTGTGTGATTTGTCTGTGATGATGTGACGCAAAAATTAAACGTCCTTTACTGAAAGTACAATGCCTGATTTATTGGTTTTTGGTAATGAAAGTAATGGGTTGATGTGCCAGAATTGGGTTGCTAAACTGGTCTTTTCAGGTAATCAAGACCACTGACACATGCCAGACAGATCCCAGTCTTAATATAAATAATGATATCTAGGGCTACTAATCAGGCCAAAAATGACACGTCAAATGTATATATGTGTGTGAATGAAGGGCGTATTTATATGAAGTGTCACTTTGGGTGATTGTATTAAAGTATTCATGTGGAGGGGTCAGTGTGTGAATGTAGGGTCTATTCGTGTGGAAGGTTAGTGTTTGTGAATGGTCAATGTGTGAAGAGTGTATTTGCGTGGATTGTCACTGTATTTGAATGCACTGGTTTTGTGTGGAGTTGATTGTGAGTGTATCTAGGGTCAATGTTTATCTGCAAGGATAATCTGTGTGTGTGCGCGAGCATTAGTATATTTGTGTGGAGCGTTAGTGTATGAACGCGGGAGTTTATATGTAAACAAGGTAAGTGTGTATAAATGCAGGATTTATTTGAATATAAAATCAGCGTGTGAATACAGGGTGTAATTGTATGGAGGGTTCACTGTATGCGTGTGAACTGTGTGTGAATGCGTTAGTGTATTTGTGTGGAGGGCCAGTGTGTGAACACTAAGAATTGTTTGTGTACAAAGTCAGTGTGTGTGAATGCAGAGTGTATTTGTATGGAAGGTTAGTATGTGAATGGTCAGTGTATGCGTGTGAATTGAGAGTTTTTGTGTGGATTGTCACTGTGTGTGAATGTGTTAGTGTATTTGTGTGGAAGGTCAGCTTGTATGAAATGCATTTGTTAATAAGATGATTAAGTGTGTGCATGCAGTAAGGTATTTGCATCTGGAGACAATGTTTAGATGTGAATGGATAAGTGAAGTACTGTGACACTCTGCATTACACTCATACAATTAATAATGGCTAACAGTGATAGAAAGGGTAGTATATATATAAAATGGAAATATAATATAATATAATGAGTTTGTGCGACACAGATGTAACCTGGCAGCCAAGGTGAGTGGATTGGAATGCGCATGCTCGATCAAGGACGACTTCACTGTACTCGTCAGTGGGGGCGCTAGACGCTGTTGAGTGAGCATGTGTCGCATGCAAAATGATTGAGCTAGTAATGCAACGAACCTGCATTAAATTTTGCGTTAGGCTTGAACATTCCTCCACAGAAACTATTTGGATGATTCAGAAGGCCTTTGGGGATAAAGCAATGAATGCAGCCCAAAGATAATCACACAGGTGACTCAGCCCCCCTACAGCCCAGATTTGGCTCCCTGCGACTTCTGGCTTTTGCCTAAAACTAAAATCACTATGACCATCGGGTAGGCGGACAATTTGTTTTTTAAAGTAGTTATAAACAGAATTTGGATTGTTAGGAGGGAGCTGGAAGAGGGAGGAGGGGGATATTATTCTTATGTTATTATTTAATATGGGGGGATAAGAGGGGGATATTAAAAGTGTCCTTTGATAAGTTTGTATAAATGTGAGAAAGGGGGGCATACCGAAATTATTGGGGAGTAGTCTCACAAAATCTAGAACCTCCTCTGCATTTGAGCTCCAGCAACTGAGAGTGTTGCCCCACTACACACCCTCTACTCACAGTGCACCCCCTATGCTAAGACACTACATTTGCTATACAAAAACAGGCTATAGCCCATGGACGCACACTACACCTGTGATACACACATTGTACCCCATACACAAACACTGAGGTCCCATAAACACAGTACAGCACCTCTAAACATACACACAACAGATCCAAATACACACATTGCAACCCTTATATATACACACAGTGCAGCCCCCTGAAACAAACACACAAACTGTACGGCCCCTATACACACGCTACAACCCTTACCGACACACACACACACTCTACAGCCTTGGCAGAGTAGTCACTTGCCCACCCACACAGCCTACTGTCACCGAATACACTGGCAGGGTTGAAGGACGGCAAGGGAGCTACATACTTACTGTGCACATCTAGTTCACGTGCCATTCAGTGTGCCCGCAGCCAGCCTATGATGTCACCCCGGCACGCCATCAGGAAAGGTGGAATCAAACCGTCAGCAAGCACTGGCCAGCAGGGAGAGGGTTGGCATCTCTACATAAGTAGGAAAATTACACCATTTTCTTTCTCAACATATGTATCTAGCAGTGTCTGTGTGTGTCTGTGATTACGTGTGTCTATCTGTCTTTGATTTTGTGTGTAAGTGTGTTGTATGCGTGCATGAGAATTGTATGTGTTTAGTAGATAGCTCCCTAATTTGGTGGCATTAACAATACCTTGGAGTGCTGTCATTTCTGCTATATTGTGTATTTATATCTAAAGAATGAAGTAAAGGGGGCTGACCTTTTCTAAAAGGAGAATTTGATGTATCAGTGTAAAAGCCCAATTTGTGTGCAGCGATTATTGTATAAACTGATCGGCTAATCAGGCTGAACAATTCCTACTCAGTCAGGTTCATTTGGGATTTAAATTTCTGCTTTGCTGTAACTATTAGGGCAACACTTTTCATGTACTGCCCACGAGCACGAGAACTGAAAAGAATCCAACAAATTATGGTGAATATGGCAGTCCTACCTTCAGCCAGCGAAGATAAAACCATCATTGGAAACATAGTCCACCAATCATTGCAGCGCGCATTGGCGTCCGCTATACAGCCAATAGATCAGGGAAGATAGAGATGGGAGGATCTACCTACAGATTAGGTAAGTGAGGGGTGGGGGGAGACAGCCTATAGAACAGGTAAGTGAGAGATGGGGGAGACAGCCTATAGATCAGGTAAGTGAGAGATGGGGGAGACAGCCTATAGATCAGGTAAGTGAGAGATGGGGGAGACAGCCTATAGAACAGGTAAGTGAGAGATGGGGGAGACAGCCTATAGATCAGGTAAGTGAGGGGTGGGGGAGGTAGATCAGGTAAGTGAGAGATGGGGGAGACAGCCTATAGATCAGGTAAGTGAGAGATGGGGTAGACAGCCTATAGAACAGGTAAGTGAGAGATGGGGGAGACAGCCTATAGATCAGGTAAGTGAGGGGTGCACAAAGGAACACAAATGAGCAGGAAGGGGCAGCAAGGAGCAGGAAGGGTCTGCAAGGAGCATGAATGGTCAACAAGGAGAAGGAAGGGTCTGCAAGGAGCAGGAAGGGTCAGCAAGGAGCAGGAAGGGTCAGCAAGGAGCTGGAAGGTAAAGCAGCACAAAGGTAAAGTAGAAGGAGCAGAAAGGGTCAGTAAGGAGCTGCCGGTTCGGCACGCAGCTGTGAGGAGCCGGACTCCGCCCCCCTCTGACACAGCTCTGACGGTATTTAGGGAGACTGGGTCAGAGAGAGGGTGCTTGGTGATTGTGTGTGAGCTAATGTGTGAGCTGCCTCCGCGAGACCGCGGGCTCCACAGGCTCAGCTACTGGGAGCTACTTCTGCCAGACTTACCTCTCCACAAGCTCTGGCAATGTGGGTCCTACTTCCGAACATGTACGCCGGCTCCTGGGACACGCCTGCTCTTCAAACTCTGAAGTCGTCCTAGCCTTCTGGACTAAGACAAGTATGCTTCATGTCATAGAGGATTACTGGAGAACGGAAACTCACTTAGTTTACAACTGGACCATATCCCTAAACTATTGGAGGATTACTCATATTGACCTTAAGAATATCTTTCAGCTATTTGTCTACAATATCATTTAATAATGAACTAATGCTTGCTTACTCAAATCTTCACTGCTTCAAACTACTAATTATATGGAGGACAACTCCCATCATGCTTATTCACTATGAACTGTTCCTGCTCTGCAAATATTCTCAGCTACTTGCTTAAAGTTACTATTGAAGATTATTCTCATTAACCCAAAGAATGTTACTTAATGCCTCTCTGAGGAAATACTTATTAATGAACTTTGTGTTGTTGATTACTTGCACTTCCTCATATTGGATTATTGCCTAAATGCAATTCATTTAAGTTTAACACTCATTAAAACTTCGGTTGAATCAAGTTACCAGCAATTCTCTCTTTTCTTAAAGCTACAGTATTGATACTTTAAAGATTCTCAGTTTCTTCACTATTGTAATTAGGGAGGTTTACAAGCTGCAGTTGAGTTCCAATCCAAATCACCTAAGTAGCATAACACAGGAGCAGAAGGAGCCAAGGAGGAGAGAAGACAATGGCAGAAGAAAAAAAAGACTGTCAAATGAAGGAGAGGAAAAGGAGATTGAAGCAGGAAGGACAAATGAAGTCAACCCTCCACTTTATTCTGGACACCACATCATAAGGCTTTGGTACCTGGGCCTGGCAGGGAAACGCTGGACCTTCTCATCTCTAAAGGTAAAAAAATATCGGTGTTAATGTGTTCACTTTTATTTACTGAGTGTCAGGAAACACAGAGTGCCATTGGGTAGGGGTGTTGCTGATTGGCTAGAGCGGTCAGCTGGCACTCTAAGCCAATCAGTAGCTTCCCATTCATAAAAAAAAGTAAAAATAGTTTATGAACCGGGAACTAGCGATTGGCTTAGAGCGTCAACTGACCACTCTAGCCAATCAGCAGCACCCATGCCTGACGTCAATCTGCACTTCCTGACACTCTGTTTCAGAAGCCAAATACCACTGAGCGACCTGGAAATCTGGAGCTGGAGGAAGCCTTTGGGGTTAAACCATTTGAGAGCGA